TCACACACACACACACACACACACACACACACACACACAGACAGAGAGAGAGAGATTAAAATCTCAACTAATTGTCTTGAATTTTGCTACAGATTAAGGACCAAGTTTTCACTTAATAATTGACTTTATTGCTCCATTTTTCTCGGCAGTTTCGTAGGTCCCTTCTCCAGCTCTTATGCTTCCGACTGCTCAGATGCCAACGGCCTGCTAAAAACCTACCAGCAGCTGAGAGTGAAATGCAGATCAGGCCCATTGTAATGTCACAGAAAGATAGGGACAGGCCAAAGAAGAAAGTGACCTTTAACTCCTCTTCCATCATTTTTATCATCACCAGTGATGAGTCCCTGTCTGTCGATGACAGTGACAGAACCAATGCATCCAAGGCCAATGTAATCCAAGTTCGTCCTTTATAAGAACGGAAGATGGAGTCTTGTATCGCTGCTACACAATGTCTACTATAAGGACTGACTTGGAGTCCCCATTTGGTATAGTAACAACAGAACCTCATGGCCTAGCAGGAGATCTGAATTGGCCATATGTTGTCTGTTTTCAAGAAGAGACTGAGGAAGATAAATTATTTTCACTCAATGGGTGCTTTATAACATGAGAAACTCCTGGTGGCACAAGATGAGCATCTGGCACCATCATCTACTATGCCAGGATTTAACATTTGAATGACCATATTTGCCAAAGCACATAATACATTTTGTTTCTCAAATATAGTTCACTGTATAAATAACCGTCTCATACACATGTGTGCAATGGCTGGGACATCTGGACTATGTCATGGTGTTGGGTCCTATTCTGTGCCATGCTGTGTGTTTGACCAATTCAGTTTATTAAGGAGCTAATAAATCAATCTATACTTTTATCTGGAAACCAAAGGCTGTTGTCATGTATGTAGTGTGACTGCCAGGGCAGTCAGCTTAAATCCCAGAAGGTACTCTGTGAAGCATTGTAGAAAAGCAAAGAGGCTTCACGCTGGCCATGCGGATGATTGATAATACCACAGTGGAGAATGTACATGGGAAAGGGGGTGTTGAAGACAGATTGATATCTCTATTTATTCCAGAAATTAGTTTGACAAACTCGCCTTTCCTTTTAATAGTTTCCCACTATTTTATCAAAAGTCCTGCATCTGCAGAGGAGTCCCCCGTAAACAAAGTTATTTATTCATGGTATGTGTGTGTGCACGCATGTGCGTGTTCACTCATGTCATATTATGAATGTGGAAATCAGAGGACATGTGGGAAACAGTTCTCTCCTTCCACCACTTGAGTCCTTGGTATTGAACTCAGTTCCCAGGCTTGGTAGCAGGTGGCTTTTCTGACTGAGCCACCTCACCAGATCTATACAATGTGTTTTAAAATTTTCATTGCTTATCAGTAGGATCCTGGATAGTGGATGGACCATGTTACTGAAAAGGACATCTTTTAGTATGTCATTGTTCATACCTAGAGGAGAACAAAACATACTGCCCTCCCCCATATGGTCCATTTTGCAGGGTCACCTTGAGTGGAAATTCACTAAGAAGAAACAATAGAAGAAAAGCTTCCTCCAATATACCAAGGTGATCTAAGGATTGCTGCTGCATGGATTCCAGTCCCTTTCCTTTGTCTCAGCCTGTCTCTATAACTTTGCTTCTTGTTGAAGATGATGTAAAACTGGGCTTTGTATGAAAACTTATTTTCTTTTTAAATGTTCCTAAAATTGTACTCGATTTTTATTTAAACTGTTTCCTCACAACATTGTATACCACATAGATCCCCTCTTTTAAATACCTTTTAAACTTAAAATAAAATTACATAATTCTCTCCTTTCCCTTTCTTCACTCCAATCCCTCCGTACATCCCTTGCTGCTTCTAGAAATCATGGCTTCTAAAGAATTTTAATTATGCTGGGGGGGGGGGAGCCTATATGTGGCTACGTACACAGGGGTGCAGGAGCCCAAGGAAGCCAGAGGCAGTGGATCTCCTGGGGCTCCATTTATGGGCAGCTGCCTGACATGGGTGCTGGGAACAGAACTAGGAGCCTCTGCAAGAGCAGTTCATGTACTTGACAGCTGGGCCATCTCTCCAGCTCCTAAGCCAGCTCATTGTCAGAGTGTCTCCCATGTACATATGAAATATGTATGCTTCTAAACTTCCGTTTGTTTCCTTTTGTCAATCTGCCTATTACAGTAACCACAGCCAGCGAACTTAAGATAAATAAAAGGAATAATTATACTGTTTGTTTATTTTTGCAGTGCTAGGGAATCTAACGCAGGACTCTGGGCACACTAGGTATGTGCTCTACCACTGAGCTACATCCTCTTTCCAGGAAAAAAAAAAAACAATGTTTTTTCTTTCGCTACACACCAAACCTAGATTATTAGGACTCAAGGTTGTCTTTGACAATATGGAAAGTGACAAATTGTTTCATCTTCATTATCTCAGTCTTAATTTCCTATGTAACTACTATCATGGCTTTCAAAATTAACAATTTTCGAAAAGAATTTCTAAGTGTACCAGTCAGCCTACTAAAGGACCAAAGAAAGAGTCTCCACACTGCCTTTTGAAGATGAAGTTAATTGTCACAGTGTGATGTTCAAGGCATCACTTCTGTGTGTCTGAAATGGAACGCACTATGTCTCCATGCTTCTGCAAAACAGCCTTCCCATTTCCTTTTTCACTCATATATATTTCATTTACTAATAACAACCCTTTCTTCTTCACTTAGGATGACATTAATAGCCCTTTTCTTATCTTCAGAAGGTAATGATTTGGTATCTGGGGAAATAAAACAGATTCATCCTGGAACTCCTTGGAACACCCTACAATCTCATTCACACCCTGGGTTTTAACAAATGCTCTGAACTTGCGGTTAGATAAGCTCCACTTCCTGCTATAAAGAGGAAGTAGCATGCTGGGCAAGCTGTGGTTTTCTGTCTTGAATGTTGTTGCTCCTATAATGTCCTATATAGAAACAAAACAAAAGAAAAAAACCAAACCAACCAATCTGTTTTTGAGAAGTGAGAGACCTTGATTATTGCATTTTTTAAATTTAAATCGACCCAATCCAAGCATGCAAAGTGATGGAAACACTACTAAACAGTAACAATATCTCCCCTCGTTTGGCTGACAAATACACAGAAATTCTACGTGGAACTTAATTACATGCTAACAATTGTTTTCCAGTAGTGAATTAAATGTGACAATGGAACATGCTTTGTGTCCTTGATTTTGGAGAGAAGTCAAACATTTGCTTCTGGAACCCGAGCTCTCTGGTTAGTGAAATGAGTTTTTCTAGTGACTCCATGGAACTTGCCAGAAGACACCTGTGCACCTATTCCAGTAGCCAGTGGTTCCAGTCCATGCCTGCCTTCTCAAGAATCCCAGAGGTCTCGGGGACAGGTGGTGCAAAAGCAGGTAGGCACTTCCAATAGCTGTCAGGGATCCCAGGACAAAGAGCCCTTTGTTTATCACCTGCAAGGGCAGCAAAAATCCAAAACCATTCACCCAGAGGTCGAATTCTAAGATAAACTTTATTCCTACAGCACAGACAAGTATGTGATTCTCTTCCTAATCAAATGTACAGGTGTCTGCCTGCATCACAAACAAGTGTGCAGTTCTCTTCCTAATCATAGACAAGTGCACACATGTCTTCCTACATCACAGACAAGTGTGAAATTCTCTGCCTATATCACAGACAAGTGCACAGGTGTCTGCCTTCATCATACACAAGTGTGTGATTCTCTTCCTATATCACAGACAAGTGTGCAAGTCTCTTCCTACATTACAGACAACTGTGCAGTTCTTTGTTGCTTTTAACTTGAGGCAGAACTTAATTGCTTGGCCTCTGTTCTGTCCTTGTCCTTATTTCAACGCACTCTATCTGCTTGGCTCTTCTTTGCATTTTTATATGTTTGAGGTCAGGGACACTATTTTATTTGGTGTGTATGTATGTGTATTGTGTGTACACATGCATGGGGTGCACGTGTCAGTGCCTACACATGTGGAGGCTAGAGATCAATGTCAGGTGGTTTTCCCCTTCTCTCTCCAACTTACTGTTTTGAGATAGTCTCTCACTGAACTTGAAACTCACTGTTTTGGCTAGCAAGCCCCTGGAATCTACCCCCCCCCCCACTAGAACATGGTTACAGATGTGTCTGTGCCCAGCTTTTATGTGTGTGCTAGGGGTCTCATTATAGGCTCTCATGACTGTGCAGGAGTAATCTTCCAAGCCCCTGTTTTACTCATCTTTATAGAGGTAGAGCTTATAGGTAGATCTTGATTCTTTCCAACCTGTTCTCTACACAGCAAAGTGATTGATCTAAAATCCTGGCCTGGATATTGAAGTCTTCTTAGGTCTCCCCGCTTTCCTGTTTCAGCAAGATTCTAAAGACTCTGGTTACCTCTCCAGCTTCCATCTGGCCATTCTTACACCCTGGACCTCTAGGCTAGTGTATCTTTAGCCTTCATTTCCTAGCCTACACCCATATTCTCCTTGCAGTCATCCAGGAAGCATTCTCCGTTATATATTTGTCCACCTTTCCTATTAGTTCCCAAACCACATGTATGGTAGGCACTACATCTTGTCCACTGAAGTATCTAGCTCAGTATATATTCATCCAATAGAAGTATTGACAAATGAAGTTATAAAACCCCCAAAGCATTCAGAAATCTGAACTGCAATTCATCACACCTGTGGGTCAGTTTCTCTAAATGAAAGCATCACTATACTCTACCAGATGGTGTTTTTTAAGTGACACAGCTCTGTCTAATTTTACAAGTTAAACGTACAAACATACCACATAATGCAAAAGTCAAGAATGGATCACAATGCTAACACAAGATAAAAAGCTGAGCAATATCAGCCTTGTTTTCCTCTTCAAATTTCTCTTTGCTTTTTGTTTTTTTTTTTTATCATGCAGAGTATGTAACCCTCTACTCTGTAAACTCAGAACAGGTTTTATTTGGAAGAGAAGCATAATATCTCTGTTCTGTCATGTCTGTGTTTCCCTGAAATTAAGATGACCATGAAACATATGACAATTCAAGACATCACCCTTTTCAATAGTCAAATCCTTCCAACCTTTTTTTGCCAATGCCAGCGCAGCACTGCCTCGTGGTATCTAATTCTGGTGAAGGCAACCTGCAGGGGGATTTAAAAAGCATCTGGTGTATTCTTTAGTAGCTAAATAGGGAGAAAGTGAAAGTCTTTAATACAGTCCTTACCATGGTATAGAGAGGGATAAAGGTAGATGGCATAATAGCATGAAGAAGTTTATCTAGGAGCCTTTGAAACAGGAACCACCTAGAGTTGACATGTGCTCGCATCTGCAATGACAGGAGTCTTAAAAAGAATACCTTAGATGAAGCACCTCTATTTCCTTACAACAGTTTCTTTCATTCACAGTTGTCACAATAATGGAAGCTAATAAAGAATCAAATAAAATTCCATTTCCACAATAGTCACTCCCAAGTGCCCTTAAGAAACCTCAGGAGTACAAAACATTGCCTTGAAAATATACAAAATCTAGTCTGTTTTTTTTTCTCAGAAGACAATTTCAATATAAAATATTCTGTTTCAGGAAAAGACTTATTGAACGAGAATTTTGAATGTCCTGTAAGCTCAAAGATTTGATGGATTTCTGTTGCCCCTTATTTAGTTGGCAATATTGTTTATGGCAACAAGGATTACTTACAGATGCTTCTGTCCTGGTTTATATTCCTTCTTAGGACAAATGTTGTGCTATAGTCAAACTGGCTTTAAGTGTGTGTGTGTGTGTGTGTGTGTGTGTGTGTGTGTGTGTGTGTGTGTGTGTGTATGTGTGCCCACACATGTGTAGAATGTGTGTGGTATATGTACACAGGTATGCATATGCATGAAGACTATGA